CGGTGAGCCGAGATGGCGCCATTGCACTCCAGCCTGGGTAACAAGAGTGAAACTCTGCCTCAAAAAAAAAAACAAAAAACAGAATATGTTCACTTTAATTTCAACAGAACTTTTACAAAATGCTAATATTTGTTTTCAATGTTATCATTAGGCAATAAATCACTAATTTCCATTTTACATACATAAAGATAAAAACATTTAGTGGCAAGAACACTGGTTACAAAATGTAAATCAGCCGGGGATGGTGGCTCACGCCTGTAATGCCAGCACTGTGGGAGGCTGAGGCAGGCGGGTCACTTGAGGTCAGGAGTTCCATACCAGTTTGGCCAACATGGCAAAACTCTATCTCTACTAAAAATACAAAAATTAGCCATGCATGGTGATCTGCACCAGTAATCTCAGCTACTCGGGAGGCTGAGACAGGAGAATCACTTGAACCAGGGAGGCGGAGGTTGCAGTGAGCAGAGGTCGCAGCCACTGCACTCCAGTCTGGGCCACAGAGTTAAGACTCCATCTCAAAAGCAAAACAAAACAAAACCCATAATCTAAATCAGAGAGTACAGCAGGGTAGGAGACTTATTAGTTTTGTGACCTTGGGCAAGTCATTCAACCTCTGAGTTTCAGTTTCCTCATCAGTAAAATGAGGACAGTAGGATCTGCCATGCATACCTCACAGGACTGTGGTGATGATCAAATGGGAATGTATGGGAAGTGTTCTGAAAAACTGTAATGAGAGGTTTCATTATTATTATGACATATGAAAACAGAGGCCCTGGCAGATTAAGTGACTTGCTCAAAGATAAATACCGTAAGTGTTATTAATCAAGACTAAAATGCAATACCCTTCAATCTACCACTTAGCCCATGACCTAGGCTTGCCTGTGGCGAGATTAAGTGAACAAACACTGTACATTTTTCTCCAAAGAGTTTAGTCCCTCCTTCAAGTATATTAATTATATTTCATGCTCCAAGAAAGAAAGAATTACAAACTTTATGTTTATCATTATCAAATTGAAATTGCCAAACCTGAGTTAAAAGACTATCCCAAGTTGTTAAGAAACACACACACACATCCCCACTGGATTTAGAGACTAAAGAAAATTTTAAAATTTGGCCAAGCACAGTGGCTCACACCTGTAATCTCAGCACTACGGGAGGCCAAGGCGAGAGGATCACTTGAGTCCAGGAGTTCCAGACCAGCCTGGGCAACATAGTAAGACCCCCATCTCCACAAAATAAAATTAGCTGGGCTTGATAGCACACACCTGTAGTCCGAGCTACTTGGAAAGCTGAGATAGGAGGATCCCTTGAGCACAGGAGTTTGAGGTTACAATGAACTACGATCATGCCATCGTGCTCTAGCCTAGCCAATAGGGTGAGACCCTGTCTCTAGAAGAAAAATAAATTGATAATAAAAAGAAAATTTAAAAATTTTAAATCACTGACATTTAATTTCCTGATAAAGTTCATTGCTATTCCTTTAATATACTACAATCTGATCATTCACAGTCCAATGGAAAACTTATTAACATTTTATTTTTAATTAAGGGTAGCTACCTGGTGTTGACATAAAACCCTTTTATATTTTTTTTCCTTTTTTTTCTCTTTCAAGACAGAGTCTTGCTCTATCACCCAGGCTGGAGTGCAGTGGCACGATCACAGCTCACTGCAACATCTGCCTCCTAGGTTCAAGCAATTCTCGTGCTTCAGCCTCCCAAGTAGCTGGGGTTACAGGTGTGCACCATCATGCCCAGCTAATTTTTTTGTATTTGTAGTAGAAACAGGGTTTCAGTATGTTGGCCAGGTTGGTCTTGAACTCCTGGCCTCAAGGGATCCACCCACTGTGGCCTCCCAAAGTGCCGGTATTACAGGCATGAGCCACCTCGTCTGGCCTCAAAACCCTTTTATATTATAAAACCAAGTATAGGCCAAGCGTGGTAGCTCACGCCTATAATCCCAATACTTACATAAGAAGCTGAGGCAGGCAGATCACATGAGCCCAGGGGTTCAAGACCAGACTAGGCAACATGGCAAAACCCCATCTCTACCCAAAAAAAAAAAGAAAAATTAGCCAGGCATTGTGGCACACACCTGTAGCCCTAGTTACTCGGGAAGCTGACCAGAAGATCACTTGAGCCTGGGAGGCAGAGGTTGCAGTGGGCCAAGATGGCGCCACTGTGCTCCAGCCTAGGTGACAGAACAAGACCCTATCTGAAAACTAACAAACAAAAAAAACCCAAAACACAAGTGTAATCACTTTGTAACATTATATAATTATAACCATGGGTAATCTGAAATACATTTTTTCTAATACTTTTTTTTTCCCTATTTTTTAGAACTTCCTGAGTATAATTTTCCTTGTACACTCTGGGGAGTGAAGACTCCATCTTCCTGAAACAGAAGTCTCCTTTTGGGAACTTGTAAGAGAGAGGGTTATAAAAATAGGACAGTGTCAATGTGGGGGACCTTCTTTATCTGCTGGGTATTGGAGAACAGAGAAATGACAGGATCCACATGTTATTTTACAATGAGTACTCTGATCAGCAGGCTAGATAAGAGAGACTAAGGGTAAGAAAAATAATGCAAAAGTTATTTCAGACTAAGTATGAGACGATAGAGCCTGTCTATGTGGTAGGCACTAGGATGAAGAAGAGCAGATGTAAACAAAGAATATTTTTTCTTTTTCCTTTTTTAAACAAAGGTCCAAACAAAGCTAACAAGCAATACTTTTAAAGGGAGAACCAACAGGAATTCAGGACATAACTGGGTAAGATATTATCTTCATAACTGAAGATAAAACTAAGGCTTTGATATCACTGCTGTCACTGACAAGAATATGACAGTTGGTTCTGAGGAGCCACCTCTTTGAGGAGGGTAATAATAATATGCTCACTGTAACATCTATGAATTTTGACAGGATAACAAGATAACCTAAGTGTGATTTATCAATGTTAGACTTCTAGCAATTTATTGATGTGATAACCAATTCCAAATCTGGTAGATGGGAAATGGAACAATTCAAGCAGTTATACCTGTTGCATCAAAAAATGAGTTTGGCTCTTGTGGTTGTAATTCAAGCCCATCTTCATCCATGGCCTTTAATTCTCATCAGTCACAGCTCCTAAATCAGGGGAAAAGGTAAACCAAAGCCATTAGTTTTTTAATATCATGTATTAAAATGTCACCATGATAGTTTCATTTCTGAGACACTCAAATTCTGTGAAAGATAAATGTGTATCAAAAATGTATCTATCTAATGTAAAAGAGAACTTAAGTGATTTACAAGGGTATATGGGCATCTATATGACAAGGCAGGGCAGATAAATCAAACAAGTCAACTTTGCCTGGACTTCTTTTTAAGTTGAAGTAATCAATGTATTGCTTACGTCCACTAAGTGAGCGTATCTTGATGAATTCTGATACATACATAAACCTTTGTAATCACTACTCTGAACAAAATATAGAACATTTTTAGGACCCCAACACTCTTATCTCCTCAGTCTGTAACACCCCATGTTCCCAAAAGGGTAACCAGTTTTGTTAAGGTTCGACTTAAAACACATTGTGTAGCTTATTGTGGGAAATGTTTGTACAATTTTCATATTCTCTAAATTTAATTAGAGAATATGAAAATTCTCTACTAACTTCCAACCAGTGGATTGAACACAGCAAAAATTCAAAGTACATAACTGTAATAAACAACCTTTGGGATTCTGCCTAACCTCTCTTAACTAACCCTCATCTAAAGAAGTAAATTCCCACAGTGTATTTATACTCTCCTGGCCACAGTTGATTGGCACTAGCTATAAAGTGGTAAAAAGTAAGTTCATCTTTAAGCACAATAAAATCAAAGTCCTATCCCTGAGAATCAAAAACCATGAGCAAGAATCAGTCCCTTCCCCTTCCTCCCTCCCAGTGGCTGGAACATAAGAGCTGAGGAAAGTCATTTTGCAACTCTGGCTTAGACTAGTAAATAAAAAATAAAAAGAATCCTGTGAGTGCTTTGAGTAACAGAATAGAGTAAGCAGGGAGGGGAGACAGCTTTTTAGCTCCTGGTTCTAGATCTATATTGAGGTCCAGCTATAACCCTGCCTTCAATTTTTATAAGACATTCCAATGGTCTTAATTCTCCCTTTTCTACTTAAGTCAAAAACTTATGACAAAAAGAACCCTAACCAATGATTTTGGCTTTATCATTTTTTTGCTAATTGTATAAGTACTATATGCTTATTAAAATTTCAAATAACAGAAACACAAGTCATTTTTCTAAAGCTAGGTGACATCATTCCTCTGTTCAAAAATGTTTAATAACTCCCTGCTCCCTCTACATAAAGTTCAAACACCTGTGTCATCTTCTAAGTTCTAGCCCCAAACTACCTTCCCACTATCATCTCCCCTAACTTGCCTTCAAGCACTTCCCTCTACTACCCTTGGCATGTACATAAACACATGTTCCCCACCCACACACAGTTCAGCCAAACAAAAATAATGCTCAACATCCCCATAAAACCCCAACTTTATATTTGATTCAGGGTTCCTTCCACCTGGAACACCTTTCCCCCATTATCTCTGCTTTAATCTTTCCCCCTAAATCTCCTTCCCCACAAAAAAAGAGAAAGCTGGAAATAATTTCTCCCTCTGAAATTTCCACAGCACTCTATTCTTCTATGACTGTACTGGTTTGTCATATTATGATTATTTATATATGTCTTATTTGCAGATACTAAATTACATATATATAGTCCTTTAAAAACATGGCATAGTAATAGAAATATCCATTAAATGAAACTGAGAAAAATTTACATTCATAAGAGGGATTCTCAACATATCAACTCTGAGATATATTCTATTCATTTTTAAGAGATAGCATGTTTCGGCCGGGTGCGGTGGCTCACGCCTGTAATCCCAGCACTTTGGGAGGCCGAGGCGGGTGGATCACGAGGTCGAAAGATCGAGACCATCCTGGTCAACATAGTGAAACCCCGTCTCTACTAAAAATACAAAAAAAAAATCAGCTGGGCATGGTGGCGCATGCCTGTAATCCCAGCTACTAAGGAGGCTGAGGCAGGAGAATTGCCTGAACCCAGGAGGCGGAGGTTGCGGTGAGCCGAGATCGCGCCATTGCACTCCAGCCTGGGTAATAAGAGCGAAACTCCGTCTCAAAAAAAAAAAAAAAAAAAAAGAGATAGCATGTTTCATGTTATTTATTCAGACTGTTTCAAATTAAAGTAAATGGGCTAGGTGCAATGGTTCACACCTGTAATCCCAGCACTGTGGGAGACCGAGGTGGGCGGATCACCTGAGGTCAGGCATTGGAGACCAGCCTGGCCAACATGGCGAAACCCCTCCTCTACTAAAAAAACAAAAAAATTAGTGGGGCATGGTGGCACATGCCTGTGATCCCAGCTACTCGGGAGGCAGAGGCAGGAGAATCGCATGAACCTGGGAGGTAGAGGTTGCAGTGAGCTGAGATTGTGCCACTGCACTCCGGCGTGGGTGACAGAGCAAGACCCTGTCTCAAAACAAACAAACAAACAAAAAAAACCTTCTAAACATTATGAAACACTATGACATTAAGCCAATTAAGAAGGCAATAAAGGGGATTCATTATAAGCCCTTAACCATACAAATTTCCCTACATAAACCCAATCCTCTACGAATTCTCAACCTGCAGAACAACTTTTCTTGACATTCATCCTCCTTGGCATTTCTATTATTAGAACTTAACAGACAATCAACTCCCTGATTTTTGAAGTGCTCTCTTTCCTCTATTGCTTTAAGTGACTTCTAGTTCTCTTTCCCCCTTCTTAACTGCTGGCTGCTCTGCCTCCCCTCACCCCTTACTACTGTTCTGCCCAGGGTTGTGTGCTCAACCCTCTCTTCTGCTTTTTCTTTATTCCCATGGTTTCAACTACTACTTCCACAACGAAGATTCCCAAAATCATCCTAACATGTCCAACAGACTATGGAATATTTTCATCTGGATAAACCCCAGCCTTCTCCTGATACGACCACTATGACCTTTTCCTTCTTCCCTCCTCATAGTCAGATTGCCAGATCTTGTCAACTCTCAATTTCTCAAGAATCCAACCCCGTTTATTTACTTATTTATTTATTTTGAGACAGAGTCTCACTCTGTCACCCAGGTTGCTAGAGTGCAATGGCATGATCTCAGCTCACTGCAACCTCTGCCCCCTGGGTTCATGTGATTTTCCTGCCTCAGCCTCCGGAGTAGCTGGGATTATAGGGGCCTGCCACTGCGCCCGGCTAATTTTTGCATTTTTAGTAGAGACGGGGTTTCACCATCTTGACCAGGCTGGTCTTGAACTCCTGATCTCATGATCCACCTGCCTTGGCCTCTCAGAGTGCTGGGATTTCAGGTGTCAGTCACCGTGCCTGGCCCCT